TTTTTTTTTTTTTTTTTAAAAAAGGAAAATGACTGAGTTTACTGGTCAGAAAGAGACTGGAGGAACATGACACTCCCCTTTAGGTCTGGAAAGGAACTCACCTTCTTGGCTCAGTTTTGAGCCAAGTAGACAATAGGTATATATTGTTAAGTGCTGTCAAGTCAGTTCTGATTCATAGTAACCCTGAGGAGCAGCTGGGAAGTTTGAACTACTGACTTTGTGGTTCAAACCAACTTTAAGGTTGAGTGCTTATCCTATGGTGCCACACCAGGACTACAGATAGGTATATAGGGGAGACAAAACACTGTACACGGTCACTATTTTGAGTGATTGACAAAACACTATACAGGGTCACTATTTTGAGTGATTGACCATTTTGAGTGAGTGGTCAATCACTCAAAATCAAAAGGGCAACATTTGTTTATAGACAAAGTTGCACAGGATGGGAAGGTGGGTGGAATGGAAATAGTACCCATAAGGAGGAAGCAGGATAGCTGTTGTTGCATGGAGGAGATTGCAATCATTGAGATGAAGCAAAGTGTATGATTTATTGAATATAAAACAGATTATCATGTCTGTGAACTTTCATTAAATTCACAATAAGAAATTTAAAAACCAATTAAAAGGGGAAATAAAGAGGCCACTGCATTTGAAGATGAGAAATCAATCCTTGATGACCTTAAGCAACTACAGAAGAATAGTTAGCTTTTAAACCAAATCACTGTAAGGTGAGAGAAAAAGGAAACTCGGTGATTAGAGACAGCAAATGTAAATGACTGTCCAACAACTTTGATGACAAAGGAATACAGTCAAGGAGAATTTAGAATGAGACATTGTTTTGTTTGAGGCTAAAATTTTTGGAATGGAAAAGTGTTAGGGAAAAAAGAGACTATCATTACAGAGAGAAAGACAAAAGGATTTAGCAGAGAAAGGACAAGATTTGAAACTGGTAAGAAGGAATGGTTTCATTAGCCTACTTACCAGAGCCCTGGTTAGTAGGACCCTGTCTTAGACACTGAAGGGCGTGTTATTGTAGGGCATTTAAGGTTTAGAAATGAGACAGGTTAAGGTTTATAAATGCATTCTTTCCCTACTAGGCTTTTGTTTCTTTGTTTTCTGGATATTTATGACCTTGGAGAAGAAAGTAGACAGCCCTGCTCCAAGCAGCAATTATATCCAACAATTACACTGCATTCGTGACGCAATGATTAAATACTCAGTGACTAACCAAAAAGTCAGTGGTTGAAATCCACCAGCCCTCTCCACAGGAGACTAAAACACGAGAAGCCCGGATGCCATAGTGGGTTATGCAGTGGGCTGCTAACTGCAAGGTCTGGAGTGTGAACTCACCAGCTGCTCTTTGGGAGACATATGAGGGTGTCTGCTCCTGTAAAGATCTATAGTCTCAGAAACCCTAGGGGGGCCCATTCTATTATGTCCTATAGACTCACTGTGATTCAGAATCAAGTCAATGGTAGTGGGTGGGATTGCAAAATCCAGTAGGAAAATTTCCATCATCTTTAAAATAGTTTTTATTGTTTATAAAGTACAAGTAAAGTGAAGATATTAAAAGACTCAGTCTATTTTAAAGAAACTGAAAAAAACAAAGTGCTATTGCCTATCAGTTTGTCTTGCTGTGGTGGCTTGTGTGTTGCTGTGATATTTTAAATACCAGTAAGGTCACCCATAGTGGACAGGTTTCAGCCGAGCTTCTAGACTAAGATACATTAGCAAGAAGGAGAAGCAGACCATTTCTGAATGATTCTCCACTGAAAACTTTATGAATAGCAACAGAACATTGTCAGATAATAGTGCAGGTTAGAAGGCACTCAAAATATGACTGGGGAAGAGCTGCCTCCTCAAAGTAGAATTGACCATAATGATGTAAAAGCTTTTGAGATCTTCATTTGCTGATGGGACACAATTCAAAATGGGAATAACAGCTGCAAATGTCCATTAATAATCAGAACGTGGATTGCACAAAGTAGGAATCTAGGAAAATTAGAAGTTTATCAAACATTAAATTGTTGTTAGTGCTGTCGAGTCAATTTCGACCCATAGCGACCCTACATAGGGTTTCCGAGGAGCAGCTGGTGAGCTTAAACCCCTGACATTGCAGTTCAAATGGCTTTGCAGTCTGGCACATTAACCCACAGCATCACACCAGGACTCCATTAAATAGAGCATACGAATTTCGATATCCTAGGCATTGTTGTTGTTGTTGTCAGGTGCCATCGAGTCGGAACCGACTCATAGCGACCCCATGCACAGCAGAACGAAACAATGCTCGATCCTGGGCCAACCTCACCACTGCTGCCACCCCCGAGTCCATCAATGATGCCACCTGGCCGATCCATCTCGTTGGAGGTCTTCCTCTTTTTCTCTGACCCTCCACCCTACCCAGCATGACATCCTTCTCCAACGATTGTTTCCTCCGGACTACATGTCCAAAGTAGGAGAGACGAAGCTTAGCCATCCTGGCCTCCAAGGAGCACTCTGGCTGCACTTCTTCCAAAACAGATCTATTGGTTCTTTTGGCAGTCCATGGCACCCTCAGTATTCTCCTCCAACACCACAACTCAAAGGCATCAATTCTTCTACGATCCTCTTTATTCACTGTCCAGCTTTCGCATCCTAGGCATTAGTGAGCTAAAATGAACTGGTATTGGGCATTTTAAATCAGACAATCAAATTGAAGAGGAATGGCGTCATATTCATCTTCTAAAAGAGCATTTAAAAGTCTATCTTGAAGTATAGTGCTTGCTGACATAGGATACTACTGGAGTCCTGATGTGGTGCCATAGGATAAGCACTGGACAGCAAGGTCGGTTTGAACTACAAGGTCGGCAGTTCAAACTCACAAGCTACTCCTTGGGAACCCTATACAGGGTCACTATGAGTCAACCCAACTTGAGAGCACTTAACAGCCAGAAGGAAGACCAGTTACTATGATGGTTATTCAAAGTTACAGTTATTCAAATTTATATATCAACCACTAAAACCAATGATGATGAAATTGAAGATTTCTACCAACTTCTATAGTCTAAAATTGATCAAACATACAATCAAGATGCATTGATCATTACTGATGATTGGAATGTGAAAGTTGGAAACAAGGAGGAAGGAAAATATGACCTTGGAGATAGAAGCTGGAAAATATGGCCTTGGTGATAGAAATTATGCTGGAAATTACATGATAGAATTTTGCAAGAATAAGGTTGGGAGTTCAAACCCACCAGCCATTCCTTGGAAACTCTATTCAGGGTTGTTTGAGTTGGAACTAATTTGAGGGCACTTTGTAGCAACTACAATAACTTATTCATGCAAATGCCATTTTCAACAATGTAAACAACAGCTAACAACAATAACAACATTGTTGGAAAAAGGATAGCCAGAGTAAATGCTCTAGTTAATTATTGTCTACACATTTATGCTGAAATATTATTAAAGCTTACCATTTTTGCTTAATCTAAACAAATTTGATTGTTCCATGTGTTATTAAATGGAACATATTTGTGGTTCAAAAATCTCATTTTTCAATACTAAAATCTTATGCCAGACTCTTTGAAGGGCACAAGACATTTTCCCTACACAGAATAACTGCCGGGAGATGTGTTCTCTCCATAATTTTTCTGTAATTCTGTCCTATTCTTCATTGCATATTTCTCACTATTGTAAGTTGTTCTCCCTTAATCCTTACTTTTATTCACTGTGTTTTCTAATTTGTGGCCAAAATGAACCAGAAAATAGTCAGTACAATTGGTAAAGGTTTTTTTGTTTTGTTTTAACATATTATTCTCAATCATTATACTCTGAGAGCGTGAGATCACTCCAGCCTTTTCCAATAGAACTAAGTGCTTTCCATATTTAGACTCTGTAGTCTATATATATTTTCTTGAAATCTTAAATGTCAGAAAGAAAGGTCTTACTAAAGTTTGACTATCTTAAGCTTATAATGCTTATCAACAACATGTGACTAATCCTGAAATGATGGCAAAGTCTAAGGGCAATTGGACTTCTGGTGTGGCACTGTGGATCAGCACTAGACTGTGAACCACAAGGTCAGCAGTTCAAATCCACCAGCTGCTCCTTGGAAACCCTATACAAGTCACTATGAGTCAGAACTGACTCAAAGGCACTTAATAACAATAAGGGCAATCTAGAGTCCTCATGTGGTGCTGTGGGATAAACAATGGACTGTTAACCACAAGATGAACAGTGGTTCAAAGCCACCAGCCACTCATCAGAAATCCTATACAGGGTCATTTTGAGTTGGAACCAACTTGATGACACTTAACAACAATAAGGTCAATCTGACATTGATGCTATTAAGAAGATACACAGGAATCTTTCACAACAAATTATCCTAAGCTGTTATTGTTTAGGTTCCTAAAGCACTGGTAAAGTACATGGGATCACTATGAGGAAGATCTGACTTGGTGATACCTAACAACAACAGCTTCTGTTCAAAGTTTGCAGTAAAGAACATAGGTGCATTCAACATGTGCTTAAGCAAGCAGGGGAAAGCATATGCCTAAATGGTAGGCAAGCTAAAATGTCATGTCTGTGGGACAGTTAATAGCAAAATGATTCTTGACCTACAACATTTCTGGGAAAGTGCAGATTGTCTTTTATTAGAAATATATTCCCCTAAGAACTTATGCTCATGTACTCTCACATTCTAGGTTTGTAGAACAACAAAATCAGTCACATTGAGCAAGAGACTGGCTGAGACAGGGGCTGCAAAATGTCCCCTACCATTCATGCACCTACTGAAGTAATACTGCCAGGAAATCATGAGGTTAACGGCCTGTGGACATATTGTGTGGCAAAATTAGTGTGTTCCTGTCAGTCTTTACATATACATCCTAGAATCGTAATGGCAGGTGCGCAGATGGAGTGTTTACATTATTACTACCCTCTTTTTTAGTTGCAATTGAATAAAATTTCTGGCGTCTTTAGATATTGTAAGTAAGTTTTACTTTTTTCCTCTCTTTTAGGACAGCATAACTATTTATGTGCTGGAAGAAATGACTGCATTGTTGACAAAATCCGCAGAAAAAACTGCCCAGCATGTCGCCTTAGAAAGTGTTGTCAGGCTGGCATGGTCCTTGGAGGTAATTCTGAAGTTTTCGTCAATAACACAATAACAAACTTTCCAATATTCTAGCTTTCTGATTCACCTTTTTCTTTACTTTGCTTTTTTATCTTGATGATTGGTGGTGACCCTTCATGCTTAATGGCTGAATGAAGCAACAAATGACTACCCCATAGAGTTCTAGATTGCCAGTGTCCTGAAGTACGTTATAAGAAGTACAAAACTTCCCCTGACTTTTACTAGCTGTGGAAGAGCAGCTGGAGAGTTTGAACTGTCAGCTTTGCTTTAAACCAACCTGAGGTCGATTGCTTATCCTATGGCACCATACCAGGACTCCAGATCCCATTTAATTCACTGATTTTGTTGTTAAGTGCCATCAGATGAAATTACTTTTTCTGGATTTCCATCACACTTTATGTTGTTGTTGTTGTTAAGTGCCATTGAGTTGGAGTCTAGACTGTGCCACTCAACAACTTGTGTGACCCTGACTAAGTCACCAACGCTTTCTGAGCAGCAGTCTCTTTATCTATAAAATGAGATAATTTAGGTCCCTTCCAGGACAAAAATTGGTTCCACAAGGTCAGCAGGTCAAACTTACCAACTGCTCCTTGGACACACTATGCAGGGTCACTATGAGTCAGAACTCACTCAAAGGCACTTAATAACAATAAGGGCAATCTGAAGTCCTGGTTCCACCAGTTGATCAGGTGCCATGTTCTCCGTAGGAATCCATTTGAAGGTGGCAGTGGTGGTTGTGTGCCGTGGAGTTGGTTCCCACTCATAGCGACCCTGTAAATCTTCGCAGGAACAGAAAGCCACATCTTTCTGCCTCGTAACCAACTACACTACTAGGGCTCCTGGAGAGTTAAATTAATGGATCCCCTTTCCTATATTTTTGGTATTAAGAGCCTCCAAGAAATTTTAGTAATAGAGCAGACATTGAAAAAATTAATGCTAGATGGTGATAAATAGTTGTAATGAAAATAAACAGGGTAAGGGAGATCAAGGGTGCCTGCGTTGCTGGAAATAATCCCCTCTTAATTTTGTTGCTCAGCTTATTTACATCCTGAGCAATTATATCTGTGAAATCATGGAGTTTTTATTTAATCATAATTTTTCAAAAATGTGCTACAATATGTACATAACTGCTGTAGAATATTTCTTTAATGTATCATCTAAATACAGCTTGTGTTTCATCAATGCATTATGTGTATCTTCCTTTGGGAAAAACACTATTCTTAAACTGATATTTATCAAGTTTCGACACTTAGCCAAAATATTACTTCCTTTCTAGAGCATTTTTTTTTTCCATATAGCGACACTATATAGGGTTTCCAAGGAGCAGGTGGAGAGTTTGAACTGTCGACTTGGCAGTTCAAACTGACCTCAAGGTCAAGGGCCTATCCTATGGCACCACACCAGGATTCTAGATCTCATTTAATTAAATAATTGATTTTGTGTTAAGTGCTACTGAGTCAGTTCTGACTCAAAGCAACCCTGTATAAAGTTTCCGAGGAGCAGCTGGTGGGTTTGAACTGCCAACATTGTGGTTATCAGTCCAGTGCTGATTCTACAGTGCCACATCAGGAGTCCAACTGATTGATTATAGTACTTATTGATTAGGTATTTGTTTTCTGTATAAACTCAAGGATAGCAATCAAGTCTCAATCTTTTATTATCTGTAACACTGTCTACTAAAGAGAGATGACCCAAGGGAATGTGAAAGTCATTGGACAGTATCATTAATATCGCATGCAAGTAAAAGTTTGCTAAAGATAATTCAACAATGACTGCAGCAGGACATTGACAGGGAGCTGTCAGAAGCTCAGGCTATATTCAGAAAAGGATGTGGAGAGCGAGATATCACTACTGACATCAGATGGATCTTCACTGATAGCAGAGAATACCAGAAAGATGTTTACCTGTGCTTTATTGATTAAGCAAAGTCTTTCAGTTGTGTGGGTCATAATAAAATATGGAAACTTTGCAGAGAATGAATAGTCCGGAACATTTTATTTTGCTGTTGAGGAACCTGTACATAGACCAAAAGGCAGTTGTTGGAACAGAATAAGGGAACACTGAATGTCTTAAAATTAAGACTGTGTGTGCCAGGGTTGTATTCTTTCACCAAAGTTATTCAATCTGTATACTGAACACATAATCTGAGAAACTAGATTATATGAAGAAGAATGTGGCATCAGGATTGGAGGAAGGCTCATTAACAACCTGCAAACCTTGGAGATCTCCAAGGAATGCTGATCCTATAGATGTCTAAAGGAGGTAGGGACCTTCCCTAGAGCTAGTGCTCTGAATTCAGACATTTAGCTTCCTAAACTGTGAGAGAATAAATTTCTATTTGTTAAGGCCATCCACTTGTGATAATTCTGTTATACAGCACTAGATAACTGAAACAGTCAGCATCACAAATAAGAAATATGGCAGTGGTACATAATTTACATATTTCATAAGTGGACTTTCATAGAGGTTTACTAGAAAGAAGCTGGCAATACTTGATATGATGTAGTTCTGATCGTATTTTGCCTGAGAGAGAGAAAGTGACTAGAGTCTGAGAGTAAACAAGTCAACACTTGTATCCCAGGAAGAAGGTAGTCAATTCATAGAATGAGACTGGAAGTGCTAGTATTATATTAAGTTTCTGGAGGAAGGGAGAGTGTGTACTTATAACCTGTTAAGAGTGAGAGTCTTCTTTGAGTGATTAATCAAGGTTGCTCATGGTTGGATTTTTCCATAATTAGGAAAAAGTGTCACAACACTAATCATTGCAGGAACATCATCAAAAATAGAGGCTGCACCTATTTATTCATTCATTCATTAAACCAAGCACCCTTGGTTTATTTGTTCTTTCTCTTTCTTTTTCTAGCTCTCATCCTTCCCTCTCTTCCTCTCTCCTTTTTTCCTTTCACTTTTGTGTGATTTCTTCTCAAAACTGTGTGATTCTCACTCAGTTTTTTGAGACCTTGAGGCTTTTTATTTCTGATATAGATAGAGACTGTTTAAATAACAAAAAGTGAAACAAAATTGAACATTGAAAACCTTTAAAAATATTTAATGAAATCTTATGGTAGAAACATACCAAAGGTCATAAATAATAATGCCTTTAACATGTCATGATACAGATTTTGTTATTGAATAGTTGCTTTCGTTTACTCCCATGGCTGTGTTCTGATGATAAGCATTATACTTGAGTTATTTGGTCTCTTCGTTGCCTATGAGTCTCGTTTTTCATGAATCACTTCCCTTACCTTCAACAGGTCACAGTGAACTTTGCATTTGGCTCATTGCTGTACAGTACTGAATACGAAAGATAGTTAAACATCCATAAAGATGGTAATATATCTTCTAGTTGAGTTGTTCTGCCTCTAATTTCTTGCCTTTAGAAAATACTTTTAATGACTCATAAGAACATACTTTCTAAAATGAATGCCCAACTCATTGCCATGGAGTCAGTTCAGACAGGGACCCTGTAAGGATAGAGTAGAACTGCCCATAGGGTTTCCATCTTTCTCCCCAGTTGAGCAGCTGGTGAGTTCGAACTGTCAACCTTTCAGTAAGCATCTGAGTGCTTTAACACTATGCAACCAGCTCTCCATTCTAAAATGAACACAACTCTATATTTTGCATTTGTAGTAAAGAATGTTAAACTACTATAAAGGTAATTAAGTCTTCAAAAATAAGTACTATTTACATAAAAGAAATTATGAAATTCTCAGTTATGTTTGTTAAAAATCTTTTTAAAGCAAGAGCTTTTTTATAGGATTTTGTCCTTTTTTTATTATAGAGTCTGATTCCCAAATTTTAAAAGTTTATGGTGGAAAGCCAATTTTCCTATCTTGTCCTACATATAAATTCTCCATCACTTTCTCTGACAAGAAACGTAACTTTTTGGGACAGAGAGTGTGGGCTATATAGTAAAGTTTTGTTTGTTTTCTTTTCTTCTCCTCCCACAGCTGAAAATCAGTAAAGCTTCATTTCATGTTCTGGAGAAATCCAAAATTCTTGAATTCCGAACACTGAGAAGTACTTTTCTGAAAATGTAGAGGCCTGGCCTGTGCGTTCACTATTAAAAACAGAAAACATCTGCCTTTTCTTTAATGCAGAATTTGCTGTGGATAATACCACCTGCCTCTTTATACTTTCAGAGTCTTCCTCGTAGAAGTTTTCCATTTTCTTCGCAACCTACAGTCTTAAATTAGCACCTTCTAGGAACAACCAACACTCCTCACATTCTTCCTTTGTTAACTGCACTGAAGCCTGATGGTAAACAATGACTTTGTGTCACTGATTATTCACCCTAACTACCATCCCCACACACTGTACACACACTGTATGCCTTAGAGGCTTGTTCATTCAAACTTTTGCTTAGATATCTGTGTGTTTGTATGAGTCTGTTTTTATGCTTTTTTCAGTAGAATATTTAGAAATTTTCAGTTAGAATTTTTCAGTAGAATCTACTAGATTATTTAGCTCCAGTAAAAACATTAGTAAAACTGAGTATATTTGTCTTTCATAAATACTAGGAGAATCACAATCATCCTAGTATCATAAGATACTACTTCTCTCCCCATTGCCTCTTTCTACTTCCAGAACACCTATTAGACATATATTTGGACTAGTCCATTCAAATCCTCCTTGCAGTCTTTTATAGTGTTTTTCTTTGTTGCTATCTGTATTCTATATAATGTCTTGTAGTTCATTATTGTTTCTGGACTGTGGCCTTTAGTTTTACCAGCTAAGAACCACTCTTCATATTTGCTTTTTGGCTCCAAGCTTCTCACAGATGAAATAATTTCAAGTTACAAGTATATGTGAGGTAAATATATGACTAAGAGTTCTTGTTCTTGTCATTATTGTTAAGTGCTGTCATGTCAGTTCCAATTGACACCGACCCTGTATAGGGTTTTTGAGGAGCAGCTGGGGAATTTGAGCTGAAAGTTTGGTTTGTGGTCCAGAGATTTATCTTGCAACTCCATACCAGGACTCTTTAGCCTCTATGTCCTT